AGTACATTTGAATTATCGATGAGCTGAGCTTGACAAAGATTAGATCTTCATTAATAATAGCCTTATAAATGATATAGGAAACTAATAGAAAAAGCTAGTATTCAGCCTAGAGAGACCTATAAATATAAGTCAAAGATATGTATAAATATATTCTATAATCTTCTCTGATCTACACGCCTCCAGTTAAAGATAACTTATTCTATCGCTCTCAGAATATTCCCATTAAATCTCTGCTCAGAGCTCTCCCATAAGGTGGCTAACCACACGGATTAAATAATATAAATAACATCAATGCATTTCGCAGTCAGTCAGCAGTTCGCTAATCTCAAAACAAACAATTGAAATGTGGTTCGGGGCGGGGGCGACTTTCGTCATGAGCGGCAACGGCACATGGGCTGATAAGGGATCGAAATCGTATCGAATTACGGCCGTGCAATGTGCCAGGCACGTCACGAAATCGAAGAAGACATTAGATTAGAAACTTTCGCAGACAGATCTGACTTATATAAAGGATATAGATAGACAGAGAGAAATCCTATACTGCATTTGCTCACCTGCGAGTCGGATTCCACGGAGTTGGCGTCGTTGCTGTTCTGAAATCCCATGCGCACGTTGCCATTGGAGCGCACATATTGTGTGGCACGTTGTGCCTCCTCGTCGTCGTCCACATCGCCGTCCAGATCGTTGCCATAGAAATTCCCGTTGGGTCGTTGATGCGGCGAGTTTTGCTCCGAGGCCGATGGGAAGGGATGATCCGTGAGTGTAATGACGCGCGGCGGCGTCTGTACACGCAGAAAGCCCACCGACGGATTCTTGGGCAGTATGGAGTTCTCCAATTGGATTTCACGCGGTGCCGAACGTGTCTCCAGATGCTGATTGTGGCCCAGCACCACAATCCTATCTGGCACATTCATGTCGATCTTGTCATGATAATTCCACGAACTAATCATTCCATTCTGATTCGACAGCAACAGATCCTCGTCGGAGTACTCGCCGGTGGCCTTTATCCGTTTCGGCACGCGCATCTTGTCGTTGATCTCGTGCGCATATTTCGCATCATTGAACAAATCATCGTCCAGCCCGTTGAACATGGGAACGGGCGATTGTGGTGTGACCATTTCGTCTCTGGACTTTGGCTCCTCTCTCGTATTTATTTGCCCTCGTCCTACTGGGATGGGGGGCGGCTGCGACTGCTACGACTGCTGCGGGACACTGCTATTGGGCCACGGCCAGGGATTTTGTTAGGCGTTAGGCGTTTGGGAGAGGAGACGTTTTCATAACAGTTATAAATCACTGGTAATTTAAGTTCAGATTGCACAACATGTTTGCTATTTTATAGTGTCGTGGAGATTTTGTTAATTTTGTGTTACTTACATTTTTCGAACTGACAGAAATGCTTCCGTATAGACTCGTATGTGCCGTGTAAATTTTAAGTTTCTTTTTATTTTATTCTTTTCTTGTCTTTATCGCTCGCCTTTTGCCTTTTGTTGTAGAAATATGTGTGTGTGTAAAAAGGCAGCAAAAGAATGTACTAAATAAGACCGCAAAAGCGTTTGATTTGAATATGCAAGCAGTGCAAAAAATTATGAAACTATGCCATTTAAAACATAAATACAATACTATATAAATGGATACACAATATAAATGCTCATAAATCAGATTTACTCTAATTTTGTTACATTTTCATTTCTTATTAAATATGACAGCTGCATTTTGTGTTGTGCTGCGTATTGGCAACTCTTCAATGCACAGCCATTCACCACGAAGCGAGAACAAGAAACGCACACAGCAACGCTTTGCCGCGCTCATTTACAATATAATTTCTGCCGCATTCGGACGGATTGACAAGCGTCCTTTTTGCATGCCAGAAAGATTGGAAATTTTAAGAGACAAAAATTGGTGTAAAAATATTAATTAATTTTGCAGAG